TAATTATTAATAATAATTATATTATTATATTGAAGTATGATTAATATATACAACAAATGATAATAATGATCATAATTATTTTTCCACGTGTATTTGTCAAAATATGATAAAGTTTTATGTTACCTTTAGTCGATATTGTCGGATTCTGATGGAATGAAACATGTTAATGATTCTGGTCACTAGAGTTCGCTGTATGTCTTATAATGTTAATTATTTATTTTTTTGTTAATATTTAAATTATAATTTATTAAAAATCACGCAAAATTGTAATTCATTAATCTGAATTGAATTAAACATCGATTGCTATTAAAAGAATTTTATAAAATAAACAATATTGTACATATAGCATTAACTTATAATCGATTGTGAATATTTTGAAAATATCTTTCATTGAAATAAAATATATGTATTTTTAAAAATATATATATACTATATATTTGTATATTCATAATTTTTCAAGATATCTCATTTATAGAAAAATCATATAATTTTATTAATTAAAGTCTTAACTATTCACGTATTAATGATATATCTATCATATTGCAATATCTATATCATTAACCACATCTAATAAAACGTTCAATAGCTTTTTAATTCAGAAATCTATCAATCTCGGTTATTCAATCGAATCAAATATTTTCAAGCTATTTCCACCAATCTCAACTCTGTACCTGTTAAAAATTGGTCATTTTATTTCATCATAAGCCTCGTCATAACCCCGATACCTCTGTCCAGCAATGGTGATAATTATCAGTTGCAATTTGTCTGGTACTGTTCTCCGCTCTACTCCACCCACGAACACTGCTCGAATCTCCATTCTTGTACGCGTCATCCATTCGGCGTGCCATTATCCCATCTCTTGCCGCGCAACACCATCCTCTCACTCCGTCCTTCCATCTTCCGCGCCAGGATCGTAGGATCATTTTTTACGTGAGTCGCGTGATTCCATGTTCGCCACATCTTCGATGCGAGATGGTTAAGAGACTCGCGTGAGAAGTGAGCCTTTGCTCGCACACACTTTTGTACACATCGCATCAGGATACGATGGTATACGTGCGCGCCTGAACCAACACATGTATGAACACACAGAAGAAAACGCACACCTGCTTGCTTACGTATACATGGAGAAACGGAGGCGTATGTAACACGGGTTCCGAGTACATAATACACAGCCATATATCCTTCTGTCCCGTAGCTACTCTCCCTCGACCCTGTCGCCTCTCTTCTCGGTTCCTCTCCTCGTTCCTTGGCTCATCGGCCCTTCCTGCCCCTCTTCCCTGCGCCACAGCTAGCGATCCCCTTCCCCCACTCCTTGAGTGCCCGGCGTCTCCGCGCGCCATCGAGTCCTCCTCATTCCCCCTGCAGGCTTGCACGACCTAAACGAGATGACTCGTCGCGAGGACAGAGGAGCGGCGTCAGAGGAGATGTTACTGCTGCTGCTGCCGCCGCTCTGCTGCTAAAGAAGAAGAAGG